CTGCTTCTGCTTTTAACGAATCTTCAAGCCATGGTCTGTTGTTGTACCATGCAGCGGCAAAAGTGCGCTTCTTTCCTGAAAACAATCTCCCTGGATAACGATCCAGTTTCACCTGGTTGGGTTTATTAACCCCAAGATCATCTGGGGCTGTTGGTCTTTGAGCGGTTGCTTTTCAGCCAATTTCTGATGTCCATTTTGTAATTCAAACAGAAATGGGAGTCTACAGAATGCACAATAAACAAACAAATCCAGAAGGCGGCAGAGTGTGACGCTGTGATTGGTCTAAATGTGGACGAATCACAAATCACAACAGACACATGAATTTATTTGACATAGCCTGCGATTTTTTGTTTTAGTTACTATCTGACATCAGATACATCGTAGCATAAAAGTTCACAGTTTATTTATAATTAACAAAAAATTTAAAAAAAAATTTAAAAATGTTATAAATAATAAAAAACGTGTTTATTGGGGGAGGGCAGGAATGTCAAATGGGAGGGCCTGGTCCTCCCTGGCCCTCCCACGGCGCCGGGCATGAACCCAAGAGGGGCCCGGACCGAAAAGCTGCGAGGGGGCCGCCACACGCTTCATCTCACACCGGCTCTCATCCTGTCTCTGTTTAGGAGAAGGCTCGTAAACTGGACATTGAGGCGCGTTCACGCTCAAACCTGCTGAGGAATGAGCGGAGGAGTGTGCAGTGCTATTCACACAGTGCGTAATAACAGCCCTGGGCTCATTACCACCGTGTGTAGTAGGCACAGCTGGGACAGAGGGAAAAAACCCTGCTGCCTGCTAACTGACAGGTTAGGAGCATCAGGTTTAAACGTCAAGCCCTGCTGTCTAATAACCGCCTGGTTAAATACAGCTGGCTTGCGCCACGAGCCCTGCTGCCGCTAACCGACAGGTTAGGAGCATCAGGTTTAAACGTCAAGCCCTGCTGTCTAATAACCGCCTGGTTAAATACAGCTGGCTTGCGCCACGAGCCCTGCTGCCTGCTGACTGACAGGTTACAGTCGGCTCTTGCACCTCCACACGCTGTATTGCACAGCGGCTCTCATCATGTCACCGTTTAGGAGAAGGCTCGTAAACCGGACATTGAGGCGCGTTCACGCTCATACCCGCTTGAGGAATGGACGGTGTGTGGATGCATATCTGTGACATAGGAAACAAGCCCGTGCTGTCTAATCAACCGACAGGTTTTAAAGACAGCCGGTTTGTGCCGCGAGCCTTGCTGCCTAATAACCGACAGGCTATGAGGCAGCCGCTTATGTCATCCGGAGGAGAGCTCTCCTGAACCGGAGGAACGGGGAGATCTCATTAGGCGGCTGCCTTTCCGATGATCTCCGGGAGTTCCTGGAGAATACCGTCTATACGGCAGAGCCGAGATGGCGGATAGAGGGACCGGGTGACCCGTTGTCAGCCCGGCAGCCGAACCTATAGGCTCGGCTGCCGGGCCGACACCGGTTCCCGCCCTGTCTCCCCCGTCCGGAGGAGAGGGAGGATGGGGCCGGGGGAACCACATGGTGATCCGTGAATGGAGGGGAAGGAGTCGCCTGACTGCTGCCCGCCACTCGGATCCAATAATCAAGGGCTTGGTCCACAGAGTAAGACTCCTGGACTAGCCAAGCATCCCCGGCCGCAGCCGCAAGAGCGTTCGCTCTCCGCTGTCTGTGGGCCAGAGGGAGACGGACACAATAGGCGCATTCACACTGCGGTACTTTCCCCACAAAGGTTCATGTGAACTTAGTTCATGTAAACTCTTTAGTTCGCATGAACTAAGTACAGATCGCGTTCACACTGGAAAAAGTCCCTGGGGGTGGATTAGGCAAATGAAGCCGCTGACGTCACTTGTTCTTCTTCTGCTTTGGGTTTACTGGCAGGCCGCAAACCACTTCACGGCGTATACTGCCGCCCAAAGTCCCCGGCCGGAAGTCCCCGGAGTTGGGGACTGGCTTCAGTAGAAGCTGCTGGGAGTCCCAGCAGCTTCTACTGAAGCCTTCCGAGTAAATCGCCAGAACGCCAACACCTCCTAATCTCCACCGCTCCCATGTTTTATTTTGTGTTGCCATAAATTAGTCTCTCTGCGTTTCTGCGCTGGGCTAATGCTAATGCTAATAATGCTAATGCGAGGATAATAAAATGGCGGCTTCACAAAACTTTTTGGGAGTTTTACGGGGCGTGGTTTGCAATCCGCCCAGCCAATCAGAAATATAGCTCTTTTCTCACAAGAGAGCCGCACGAAAGGGACTTTCGTGAACTAATTTTAGTACCTGGTCTTTTTGGTGTGAACGCGATAAAAGAGTTCACATGAACTAAGTTCACATGAACCTTTGTGGGAAAAGTACCGCAGTGTGAATGCGCCTAATGAGTGCACGACACCTGGGGAGTGAGAGCCGCGTTTGCGTGCTCCAATCCCCGCCAGGACTCACCTGTATCGTCTGTGTAAAGCCGCTTCCTCCCTGGAGCGAGCCAGCCACAGCCGGTCGTAACTCATGTCGGCTAACACCGAGCCCCGCCCTGTCTCCCCCGTCCGGAGGAGAGGGAGGATGGGGCCAGGGAGAAATGTTTGCTTTCTAGTAAACAGCTCTGAAAAGAGCTTGTGCCTGTACAGTGCTTCTGCAACGGAGTGCTGAAGAAAAGTGGGACTAGATTGTAGGGACTACTTCCTATTTATACGGAAGTGAGTCCGTAGGTGGGGCCCACGTCATAGGTAGGCGTGGATTAAGTCTGTCAGTGCTGCACACGTGCAGAGGGATTATCCAATGGCGATAGCCTTAGAGGGCGAAGCCATATATACGAAATAGAACAGACAAGTGAAAATGTGTTTTTCTGGTGATGTGCATTTGTGTCTACTACCACTAGGGGCCATTAGAGCTGAACATGTTCAAATTGTGCACATAGTTTCTACATTTACATTTACCGCAACTATTTTTTATTTTATGCTTCATGCATAACCACATACAATCATTTCAACATTCAGTTATGAACCAACAATTATAGCATAAGATAATTTGCAATGCCCTTCCCTACAGAGACTCAATTGCAAAGAGCAACACAAAACAAAAACAATGATGCTCCATATAACTCATGGCGACATGTCTGATCAATATTAAATACACATGAGTTGCAGTTGATCATAGCCATAGTGTGAACAACCAGAACTACATACATTTAAAAAATGTACTAATGTACATTTTTCACAGATTTCACAGATTTTGAAGTGACTGTTATTTTTTATATATTGATTGTTGTGCTTTTATTTATGTCTTTAATGTGTGCATATGGCTAAATGTGTCTTGATTGATTATATATATGCATATACATATTTTTATATATATTTGTATTTTGTATTCTTTGAGATTCTGGGAAACGGTATTTCGATCTCACTGTCTGTACACACACAAACTGAAAGATTGACAATAAAGTTGACTTATTTTGACAAAATTACAAAAACAATCCAGATATTATCATGTGACGTGCTTACAGTCTTCTCACCTGTGATGTTGTATTTCTTCTGTATCCTCCATAGGGAACTGAACCTGAAGAGGCCCATCTACCAGCAGACAGCCTCCTACGGCCACTTTGGTCGACCAGAGTTTACTTGGGAGATGCCCAAAAAGCTTGTATACTAAATACTCCACCTGCTCTTCCTTGAGGCGCCTCTTTCTTGGCTACGACTGCTTCAACTGATTGGACATTTTTAAATAGGAAGAACCAAAGCCAACGTTAACGATAAGTAAGATTAAAAGAGATGAGGATTATCATGATATGCACGAGTGGTTGTAGTCATGTAATGTAGTAGACAGGCATTGCAGAGGACATCTCAGTAACCAATCCTTTCCCCCCTGTCCTTGAACATCCAATTATTGGTGCTTTATAAATATGGGTACAATCGCTAGTCAAAGATATTCCCTGGTAAGGTAAAGGAACACCACAGCAAATAGAATCCACTGAAGATAAATATTTCTAACCCACTAGAATCAGGGTTTTACCTCAAAGCTGCAAATGTTCCTTTACTTGACCAGTATGATGTACAGAAACCACCTCAGTGCTTTATTTACTTCATCAGTGACGAACATGAATATGTACGAGGTGTAATTATTGCTCAACCAAAGGCTCAGCTTCATGACTGTACAATTCCTTTTCTAAGTCTTAATTTGTAATGTGTGCTACAGGAAGTTGTTTGCACTGTTACCATGATTGTTGTACATCCAGACAGGTCATTACGTGGGGAGGGCTCTGATCTCTTCAACATTGTGTTACAATCAGTAAATAGCCATGCGGTTTTCACACTGCACTTCTTTTCTGTCATCCTTTCAGCCTCTGCTTGGCTGTTTTGTATTTTTTTATTTTATTTTTTTTTAACCTGTAGGCCCGCTGCTGTTAAAGAGTCTATATATTTTATCAAAACACTTAGTCTTAATCAGTCTCTTCTCTTCGAAGTGGATTACCAAGCTGCACGCTGTTGAGGCTTAGCATTTAGTTCACCACTGATGTCTTACAGTTGCTGCATTTAAGACCATTTTATTATATCTGACATACCATGGTGTGGATGCAGATCACCTTTATCGTTGAGATAATGTTAAGTTCTCTGCAGATCTTTATTGCAAATTGAGATCCCCCTTGTGGATTTAGATTAAAAAGGGTTTTTCAAATGTATTTCTCAAAAGGCATTTCGAACCTTGAATGGTAAAAGTATTTGATCAAATGATTTCCTTCTGATAGGGTCGAGGAAGTGTGAACAGTACTCACCTCAAACCTTCATGTCTGCAGAGGTGCATACTTTGTGGCTATTGTAACAACCCGTGCTTTCTTTTACAGCCGACATTGTTTCCTATTTAATGTGTTGATCTGTGTTGACTCTGTTGGAAGAGAATCTGGACAATGTAAATAATTAAACAATAAAGAAAATGAAAGATATAAATGGATTGCCATTTCTTCATTACAGGCTACATGCAGAAGATAGAATTGCATTACATAAAGAGAATGATTGTTTTTGGAATCTTTTTATTTGTTGAACATTAAGGCATATATACACACACAATCATATGACTTTTCATCAAAATATAATTTACAACCTAAACCTCTTTGGTTTTCATTATCAAAATATATAAAAGGCACATAGGGAGCATTTCGCATTTCAACGGTATTGAGTAACAGATTTCTGTGAGCTTTACAGATGCTAGTTTGTCAGAAAAGTCTCACCGATGATCTACTGATTACACGGGTGAGTTTTTCTTGCAGATCTTTAACCATCATCAGCAGTATAAGCATTCTCAAAAGCTTACTATACAGGAATGTTTATTTTGAAGCTTAACTTGAGTCTGGATTAACAAAAATAATCGATTAAATCGTGGCTAACCACCTATATAACACAACATATATAAACATAACAAATAGTCATAGAACAAATGCCTTAAAAAACAACAGAAGGCAGAAGCAAGCAGAGTTCATTCTGCTGTGAATCAAACAATGCAGCTGGTGTCGTAACGCTTTCCTGAGTGCAAAGTTCAGACAGATCAGTAAATGAGAAGGAGCAAGGACAGAAAGAAGAGTATGACATTGAAAGAAGAGGATGCAAAATGACAATCAGTCTTAAGGAACATTTTACAAAAGAGATTTTTGTGGTGTTCAAATCCAAACAAGGGCTAGAGTTTGCTACCATGCATTAATGTGTAATGAAAGATGTTTCCTGCTAGAGCAACATGAGCAGCACCATCATTTGACAATAACACTTACTTAAAAGAATGCATATTGCAAAACTAGTGTCACATGGTCAAGTTTGACTTCAAAGTAATACCTGGTAGACAACTGAAGATCGCTGCTGAATTAAAGAACAGGCCCAGTTCAAGTGCTCTTCAAGAATTTGCTCCACTGCAAATGTAAAAGTAAGAGCTGATTTGGCATGAACCTCGAGGTGATTGAATGTGGAAAATGTTACAAGTAGAGAACAAGACCTCGTGTGAGCGGAGCAGCAACATTACAGCTCTGGTTCAACACCTGCAATAAGCAGTTTGACCAGTAGGGAGAAGCAAGAGATCACAGGTGTGTCTGCTGTTGTGTCTGTAGCAGCGTGCGCAAGCTTTCCACTTCAGCCTTTGTGACAGTATTCATATGCAGTCCTTCTGTGACAGGATGTAAAACAGTTTGAATACTGGGTTGTGGTTTGATATTTTGATAACGCCTACTAACTGACTATCACTATCACTGCTTGCTCTGGTTTTCCACCAGAGAGCTCAGAGTGTGTTCATTTTAAACTGAGATGTTGAACATTTCCCCAAAATATAAACAGTAATCCTTACTCTGTATTACAGCATGTCAGAGAAAGACATTGAATACAAAATTAAATTTGAAAATCTTAAAAAATATATGATTTTGGGGCTCAAATTAAATAAAGAATGCACTAGAAGATACAATTATCAATGATCAATTAGCAGGGAGCCATATCTAAATGTAGCTATATCCGTTTTGGTATTCCTGGCACTCACAAGCATGCTACCTCCTGTCCCTGCTTCTCCACTATAAGCAGTCGACGTCTATAACCATCCTATAGATGTCATTCATCAGACGTTAACATAAACACAGATAAACTCAGGGACAAGATAAGGCCCTGTGTGTTTTAGCACCAATGCCACAGGCAAAGTGATATTTGGCTTATTCTGCTGTAAAGTAACAATGAGGCAGAACGGAGCATCTCAGTAACATTACAAACCCTACCTTCTTCCCTTTGTCCATAAGGCAGTGACAGTGTGCTGCTTCTCCTTGTTGGGGAGTAATGAGATGCAGACCTGCGCTGCTAGGAGCTGGGAACACGTGTGAAGCCGGCTCACTAAACTCAATAAACCCAGTGCTCTGGCTTGAATTAGCTGGTACGTCTTTGGCCTCTGGACACTGTATCATCTTTCTTTTATGTTCTTTGGTAGAACGGAAGTTGAATACATATGAGGTTAATTTATCCCAACAGAACGGGGATGAGACAACAGTTTAGGTTTTAAGTCATAACGTTTTGACATAATGAGGCACCAGATCTAATGTTTCTTTTGGGGGTGGTTCGAATAAGGACACAGTACATCACACAAAGCATCCAGGAACAAAGTGGAGTAGCTATTCAAACATCATTTTGTTGATGATGCTCATTTTAAAAAACTATATAGGCAGACATGTAGCGTGGAGTATGATGTTAATTCTAAGGATTTGTTGACATAAAATGTATTTAAATTGTATAACAAAAGTATTGCTTAATGCAGGATTGACTAAGACATTATTTTACTTTTCTTTTTGACATGGTTTCTTTAAATGTTTTGCATTCATCTATTCTCTCGTGGGAAAGACAAGCATGACCTTGCTGTCACCCTCACACCCTCTTCTCTCTCTCCTCCCTGTCTCTCTGCTGTAACGCTGCCAGCTCGGCCGTCCAGCAGCCGTCACTCCTCTACGTAGATAATGATGCTTTCAGGAAGTCACCAGAAGTGAAACTGGTCCAAGGCCACTATTGAGACATGTTTCAATATCTCAGAGGGGAACAGCACATTTTCTTTATCTGATTGATAAAATACTCTTTTACTTGTCACGTTGGGAGGAAGTCTGGTTTTACACTTGTGCAATGTGCAAAATACAAAGTTCTTGAGACACCGAGCTCTGATGTGAGCACAATACAAGCTTCGCTCCCCACCCCTGGGGCTGAAATAGTAGAATCCACTCTGCCATGAACGGCACTGGCCTGGTTCATTTCAAAGCTTCAGACGAGCTGGAAATGAATAATTAAACTCATTCAAAAACCAGAGTTTGAAAGGATGATACAAGCCACCTGTGTGGCATCGAGGTGAGCCAGCAGGCTACAGTATGGACATGTTTTCAGGTTGGTGTGGGTGTGAGTGAGGAAGGGGCCCTCCCAGGGGTCCCAGTGCATCCACCTTGTGTTCTCTCCCAGCAGATCCCAGGGTCCCTCGAGCCAGCACCACCATGGTATCTGATGACATGCCGGCAAACTCAAAGGCAAAAGTCCCGTAAAACAGCATGATGATGACGCAGAACAACCATTCAAAGATGGCCGACGCGTGTTGAAGGACGAAGCTCTCCTGACAGAAAAACACGCCACCTGAGAACACGGTTAAGGTCAACAACAGCAGAGCGGTGAGAAGACATGTAGTCAATGTGCAGACAGGCTGACATTGATCAGATTCAAACTCCTTGTTTCAACTTTCAGTAGGGCTGCATCAGATCGGACCACCACCTGATTTCGTTTTCACAAATCAGCACTACCCCTTACACTCAAATACATATTTGTTCTATATAATTTTTTAGAGCAATTGTATGTTATTAAATAGTTTAGTTTTAAATATTTTTTACAGAATATGGAAGTTTTCACATTTTTCCTCTTGACTGTACAATATTGTCACTAGCCATCATTTGTATTTATCTTATCCAATGATTCATTATCCACGTCGACTGCTTCTATACATCCACATTGGAAAGCCTGAAGAGCTGCAATGCATTTTGGGTGCAGTTGGGTATGTCCCGTAGGCTCCAATTGCATTTTTTGATTTTCTTGTTTATGTAGTATACATTCGGGTAATCTTTTTATATAATCCACATGCTGTGCCCACTTTATATACTCAGTATCACATCGTACTTACTAAGATAGTTAACATGTGGGCTACCCCTGGTGTAAGGTATATAAGAAATTAACTAATAATATTTCTCAAAATGTCACGTTTTCACAGCCATGACTGTGTTTAAAAGCATGCAGCATAACATATATATTAACATTTGAGTCTACTCACAAAGTAAAGCTGTAAAAGACTTAAAAAAGGCCTATAACAAACTATTTGACATTAAATACCGGACCTGATGTCTGTGGCAGTAATAAGCTCTATGCTAAAGCACTATACGGCCTTGAAGGCTGCCATCTGTCAGTGGCTGGAGGATACTGAGCACCAAGGCTACGAAGGCCAGCAGGGTCATGCAGAGCCGCAGGTGGGCCACGTTGTACTCCCCCTGGGTCTTGGCCAGTCGGTAAGTCAGAGCTGACTGCACGCACACAAACAGCATGCTGGTGGGGAAGGCGATGCCTGCTCCGACATAGTGGAGAACTTTGGAATTATCCACCTTGTGTAGAAAAGAAAGGAGACAAGAGGAGATAAAACGTGGTTAAATAAAAAATGGGTGGGAAAAAAGTGTATACACAAAGTCTGCAGCTGACATGTAGGAACTATCAGACAGCTTCTGCATCAGGCAGTTGGGTCGGATTATTTATTGTTGTGTAATACTTTCTTAGACTTCTTTTGTAAGAAGCTCAAAGAAGAATACGTGGAAACGAGAGCATGCTTTAAAGTAAGCGCTAGCGGGTAGCGACTCAACAAAATGCCACACACACACACACACACACACACACACACACACACACACACACACACACACACACACACACACACACACACACACACACACACACACACACACACACACACACCACACACACCACACACACACACACACACACACACACACACACACACACACACACACACACACACAGTAATTCAGCCAAATTACAGGGGTTTTTTGGCTGATGATGAATCGGTAAATACTGGTGAGTACATACTGAACATTCCTGTGCAGTAGGCTAATCCTTGAAAGTAAGTTATCCATACAATCAATATGAAAAAAACGCACACACCATTAGTCTTATTTTTACAGGAGTGGAATATAAATCACAGCAAGCTCTTTCACACATTTTTCCACATGCCTTTGCTCAAACAGCAGTTTATTGTTTTAGCTTTCATACTAAAGTGGCTGTCACAAAATCCTATTTTTTCAACTGCATCTCCATTTACAGGAACTACATCAAACTGGCACTGCAGGGTCTGAGTGTACTGCCAATCTGTTACTCACTGTACACAGTAATGGAAAAACACACACATGCAATAACAACCATATGCTCTGTTCTCCTTCTGGCAACTTCTGGTTTTAACTCACGTTTTGTTTTTTGCAGAATGTTTCCTTTTCAGATGTTTAATATATCAAACAACTTTATTCTCAAGAATATAACCAGCAGATTAGGCATAGACAGTATATTTAAATAATCCAACACTCCTCAGGGGTTTGTACTGCTTGTGTGCTGCCTGGTGTCACAGATGATATCACTAATCGTAGTCATTACCTGATGGCTTAATGAGCCGTCGCGGCATCACAGTAAACCTTTGCTGTTCTTTTGTATGGAGGTTTTCACACTTTAGTATGCTCTCAATATGGCAACATTTGTTCATGGGAAACTACACATCTCTGAGCATCTGCCTTCATCTGTCACTGCTGAAACCTACTGCAGCTATAAATCACCAGAGTTTGCCTGGTTCTGTCATTTTGTTAAAGTATTGGTACCACATTTTATTAAATACATTGATCCTGTCAATATAAAAAATCAATAGACATATGATCATCTAAATGTGTGTGTGTGTGTGTGTGTCACTGTAATGTAATACAGAGTGTGTGCAGGATAATCTGATGTGTGAGGATGCAGTACATGTGGGAACAAGCCCAACAGACATCCAGCTCTCTTCCAGCGTCAGTTTTCATTTTCTGGAAATTGAACCAAAAGTGAAACTCTTTTGACTTGACCGTTGAAAACACACCTGCTGAACCAAACGGCTGCCGCCATCTGTAACAGAGATTTCACAACCACATATTGCAAAAGCTATTCAAGCAGACGGACAAAAAGGGGGTCCTGAATAAGTGCCTATATGACATTTATATCTATAATCACCAGAGACATATTCATGCACATAACATATGCTTTCAAATGTTAGCCATGATTCCTTGGACATTGTTTCTAATACTTTACACAACCATCAGTGCTTTTCAAAAATCAATATTTCTTAAACGGACCGCACTCCTTTAGGATGCACTTGAACGGCACCGACAGTCAGCATCATCTGTACGTCATCTTCCTCTCTCTCCTCCTCCTGACTGCAGCTCATGAACTAGCCGCGTCCCTCTCGTGGACCTCTGTCTGGCAGCGATGTGCTTTTCCATCATCTAGTTATGTGCTTCTCTGCCCAAACCATCAGACCACCTGACAGGAACAGCCCCAGTGGCCGCACCACATCTGCTCTGCCAAAGCCTTTACGTAACCCACAGCTACATGAAGTCGTTGCCACCGCTCAACATGATGCCAGGTGTTGTGTTTCTGCTACTTTCTCTCCCTTTTCTCTGTTGAGTTCATCAGATTTTGGCTGCTGTTCTCTCCTCTGACTCTCCAATGTTTGCCAGGGGATGCCGTGTCATTATTCTTTTGAGCCTGGGCTTGATTTTGCCAACAGAATTTCTGTTGTCATGTGGTTTAAAAAGTGTATTCATCTTCAATGACATCTCTATTTCCATCCCACTGGAATGCCTCCACTATAAGCGATGTGATGTCTGTGAGCGAGGCCTGTGATTGGTTACAGAGGGCCTCAGCCTCACACACCCTGTCTGCCCTGCTCCTCTCCATGCATGGCCAGACCTGATGACTCACTTCCCCCTGGCTCTTCCCGTATAATTCCTCCCAGCTCTGCAGAGCGGAGGCCCCAAAGGAGAAGCGGGAAGAAGGTGAAGACGACCTTTGAGCATTCTCAAACAAACTACCACTGCAAACCTCTCACACTCACACACACACCTCTAAGGCTATTGTTTGTCTCCATCTTCCTCAGGACACAGTGGCCTCTAGACAAACATTGTTTAACTACTGTAAGATGTCATATCATCCATAGACAACATTTAGTTAAGAGTGCTTCTGCCACACCTTACAAACAGCATGAGCTCAGTCTGATCATAAAGAGACACAGAGTTGCCCCTATAGATTTTTTAACTAGTGATTCATTTACAGATTCAACGGTTAATCTTTAAGTCTATAAAATGTCAGAGATATATACAATAACAATGACATCTGATACACTCAAGGAACATTTATTCTGCTTTATACTGAGGAATGTTTTCATTCAAAAACAGGAACTTTAACAGTGAATTTCTTTCAGAACTGGTATGTCTTTTGGTAATTCAAAAGGCCCACATGTGTTAGTAACCTGTTTGCTCCCTTCTCGTATCTCTCCCAAATTATTTACCATAAACAGTGAACTATTTAACAGTCTTTTCCAATTTGAAGGACAAAACCTGAATGTTAACAACATTAACGTATCCAGCCTTTTATCAAAAAATAAAACCGTGTCTATTTTGTCTCTGAGCCTCCCCTCCCAAACTTACAAAAATACCAAGGATGTCATCAAAGCTACTTGTAGTCTGGGCATCGAGCCAGTGCTCCAAATATTTTAACTTCATGAAATTATTTTCCAAAGAACAAATATCTACAGGAGAGGAATTCAAGTCAGTTTTCCTCACTTTAACTACCGGAGAGAGCAGTAGAACTTTAAAAACACCTGAATGTACATCTAATCTTAGATACAAATTGTTTTTGTGTGTGTATCTGTGTATGCGTGCACGTGATAAAGAGGGGACGAGGAATAGTGTCATTTGAGGAAGATTAAAGCAAATTAAACAAGCTGAGTCATGGACACAGGCCTGAATGTCATTGAGAAATAATTGAGACATTTCAATGACAGGCAGTTTTCTTCTGGGCTGCAAACTAACGGTTACTTTGTATTGACAATAATTCTGCCATGTGCAATGAAGAATAGCCATCATAATATTCTTAAAACTAAGGTCACCACATGTGACAAAGCAAAACAACAAAAAAGTCACCTTAAAATGATGTAAAAACCACCTAAGGCTAAAGCACAAATCTTAACACATGCTGTCACAGTCAGGATCTTTAACTTTCTAATCAACTCTGACTCACACTTTGAGAGTCATTTTACTAATCTATATTTCCCTTGTGGTATCATATAACTTTCCTGTTATTTCATCTTTTCATCATTTTCTATATTTGGAATTGCATGTTATGTCTGTGTGATGAAGGTAAACTGGACCCTCGTACCTGGAAGTTGCCCACCATCATGAGTCCAGCGGCACAGATCCAGCCTGTGGAGAGACTCGCCGTGTTGAGAACACAATGTTGGTGCTTCTCAATGACGTGGGCGTAGCGGAGCAGCACGATCACCATAACTACAGAAGAGAAACAAAACGAGACAAAAACAAGATGAGTCAGTGATGGGTGGATCTGATGAATTATACAGGTTACTACATAAATCACTACACTAGTAGAACAGTGAACCGCTGTGAGGGATAACAGGTTATGCTGTTTCTGGAAAAGTCCACTTCACACTGTTGGTATTGTGCGTTATTATTGGGGCGGTGGCGAAGTCGATAGGGACTTGGCTTGGCAACTGGAAGGTCACCAGTTCAAGTCCCGGCAAGACCAAGTGCTACCGAGGTGTCCCTGAGCAAGGCACCGTTCCCCACACTGCTCCTCGGGCGCCGTTCAAAATGGCAGCACACTGCTCCTAACACTAGGATGGGTCAAATGCAGAGAAACAATTTCCCCACGAGGGATTAATAAAAGTCCATCTTATCTTATCTTATTTCACCGTGCCTGGCTTCAATGTATTTCAAACACTAGCACATTAGCCAAAAAACACAAGACTTGCTTGGGAGCTGATTAAAAAGACAGGAAATGGCGGGAAAGTGAGAACGCTAAATGGGTGGGGGTTGGTCTAAATCTTGCATGAGATTAAAAGAAGAGGGGAAACGAAGTACAGTGTATGGGACAGATGACTGCGGATGTGCTAATGGGCTGTGACTGGGGGTATTGTTGGTGCACGGAGGAGCTGACCCCCGCTTGGTGTCTCTTTGTTAGCTCCTCACGGATGGTGCTTCACGAGGGCTGACTGGGCTTGGTGAAAGCGGGGCAAAGGGGGCGAGGGGAAAAGACGAGGCGGAGACATTCAGAGGGGAACAGGGAGCCCTTCGTGTCTTGACCTGACGCTCATATATTTTCTTGGAGACTAAACTGTTGTTTTAAATCGGTCAGCATCTGTGTGAGAGACGGGCTCTAAGACGTTCTGTGCTGCCAAATGAGAATAAAATGGAAACCGTGGTCACAGAGAGGGAAAAAAACATCAGTGCAGGACTTAACAATGTCAAGCTTTGTCTCCATGAGTCAGGGTTTGGATACACTGTGGCCCGTCGGGCTCTAAGCCAACGTCTCTTTGTGGACATAACGGTCACATAGTAAAACGACAGATTTCAAGAAGTTTTGAGTAATATCCTGTTAGTACAAAGTGTGAAAACGGCATGACTTTCTTCTACAAACTGCCAAGAAAGTACAATGAGTATACTTTATGATATTTTGGAATATAGGATTAATTGTAATCCAACAGTCATTTTAGCTAGTATGTGTGTTTTTCACAGTAAATGAAAATAATCCCATTATATTAATGTATTTATTCGGCAAAACAGATACAAAATGTTACATACAATGCAACAGATGGAATGTTTATGTGTATCTGGTGCCACAGTATTACCAATAATTATATTATGTTATAAAAATGTATAACAATGTTATGTTTGTTCAGATCCTCAAGCCTCAGCTTTTGCGTGAGTGCTGTTGTTTGTTTTCCCTCTGCACTAAGAATCTTCTAGGCAGAGTGATTTAAATTACAATCATGGAAAAACACACAGCAGTGTCTCCAGGCGCGGAAACAATCTAGTCTGTTTTTTTCCTACTCGTTTTTTTTATGTAGAAAACAATGTAGCGCTGAAGGGACAAGAAAGTACACCGTTTATTTCATTAGATTACAGCTTCTTCGTCCAATTGCTGCAGACTGGTTGGCTGTGGATGTTCTCTATTGAAACAAATGAGTTTTCATCATTACAAATGAGCGTGCTTGAACTGGCTGGCATCAAGTCGTTTCTCTAAACTGATGTAAGCTCGGCCTGAAGGTTAAAGGCATGGAAGAACATGTTCCCATTACTCTATGGAGAAATCCTTCATGCTTAGGCTTTATTTGTGCTCTGTAACCTTTGAGGCACATTCTGTTTTCTGGAATAACTTTTGGAGGATGCATGTCGTGATGATGAGTCACAGCATAAAGGTTACATGTCTGAAGAGTCAGCAGCATGGCTGACCCCCACCTGGCATCAGACAGTTAGGACAAGCTGCTGTGATACATTTGTATACTGCCTTTCTACCTTACCAGACACAGCACTATATCATTTGACTCCAATCATCTATTCACATACATCTTAATACACTGATGGTGGCAAAGCTATCATGCAAGGTGCTGGCCTCGTGCCTTGATCAAAGAAACGTGTGGACTATATTTAGATGTTGGCAATTTGATTGTGTTGTCAACAGAAGGAATCAGTTTACATATTGCCATTGCTAAGCTTTGATCTCCTTCCACACAGACGCCCACTCCTTTTCTCTGAACTCAGGAAGCCCAGAGGGGAAAAGCTTGGCTCAAACCCACCAATGCTACTCTTCCGTGGAAGTCACCTCTCAACAACGTGGACTTACGGTAACTGATGCACAACCCTGCTGCCACAAACACAGACTGGTTTATGCAATCGCACATAGACGTTAGCAAACGGTGCCAGTGCATATTCCCACTAAAGTCCCGTCAGCCACACCACACCTTGCAGTTAAATAAACCCTGCTGTCCCCTCAAGTACATATGGTTCAACCCAACCAAATGGCTGCATTCTCTCCCACAGGAACACGCTGAGAAAGAAAACATGCATTGTCTTTGAAACAGAGTGTGTACACTGGCCAGGAGGTGGGAACTGCCTGGAATAAAAACGAGAAGTATAATTATGAGGCAATGTGCAGTTCAGGGAGTGCAAGATATCCCAGATAAAAGTGAACCTCTGAGCCGACTGTAGCAGGCACAAAGCGAGACATACATCAATAGGCTAAGAAGCTAAACACTAGTTATTTACAATAGCCTCTTGTATAGCCACATGCCACGACTGCTTAGCCCGCTTTTGTAGAGCCTTAATAACTTGCTTTACAACAGGTATTAACACACGCCGAGATCAGACTCACTTGACAGTAAAGAAAATGTTTAATAATCCCAAGGAAGCCCTCATTTTTGTAGCTGTATTCAGAATTAATTCCTATGTTTTCTTCTATTTTTGGTTTTAGATTTGAACCTTTGTATAATCAACAGTGTTTCCCACAGATCTGAAATATACTTGGGGGGGGGGGGGGGGGTGGTAGCGGGGGGGGGTTGAGGTGACATGCAACAACATTAACATTAACCTTTCTGTTGGTCGCTTGTTAGCAGACCCTTCACGCGATGGCAGAGCGAACAGGTACAGGCAGGTACTACCCACAAATAAACATATGGACATGGGTTACTATTTAAAAAAAAATAAAAAATGGTAAATGTATTTAGGAACCTATCCATGTGATTTTAAGTGGGGGTGGACCTCAAATCCTCTAGGGGGGTCTGGTAAGGTTTTTATTTTTTATTTTGGAGTTAAATGCATCAATCTGGTGCACTTTGAGGGGAAAATAAAGAGCCTAGATATATGGAAACACCTATATGAAACAGAACTGTATACATTTCAATAATCATAAAATCATGGCCATAACCAATAACATACCATTTCCAATATGAAAAAAACACTGAAACTTGTTTATTTATTTATTTTTGGTTCATTTAGTTGTGAGTGTGTCTGTGCTCCTGAATCAGCCTCTCCTGTCTCCCTCCTCTCCTCCCTCTCCTCTTTGAGGCAGCAGCAAAGACTAGTTTTAGCTCTCAACAAGTTTTAAAAGTGTATCTTACCTTTTTTCACCTAGTTAACTTTTTATTTTGTATCATGCATATTTTACTAATCACTACCCTCTCAAATGGAAATATGTGTTTACATAAATGGTGACCAAACCGTTTGAGACCCACTGAGAACTTAGACTAAGTTAACTATCTAAACACTCAGAGAGTCCTTTGCCTCACCTGAGCTGAGGTTATCCCGAGCTTGAATGACACACAGAGACCAATCAAGGGCTTTGATTTATGATCTGTATGACAGTGGCCATGTCGGCAGGCCACATCATGTAGACAGCCAGTCACCCTGTGTGAGGCAGGCCACTTAACAGGCCAGGCCATCAGGAAACCCCCCGGTCCTCCCGATGGCCAGTCCGGGACTGGGTACAGGAGGCGTAGAGCGAGGGATCAGTGTCCACGAGTTAATCGATCGCAGATGGCGTCGTGGTCACGGACGAATAAAAAAAAATTAATAATAATAATTATATTAAAATATATATATATATACTTGGGCGGCCGTTAATATACCTGGGCGGCCCGCCCAAGTAAAGTATATTCTATGTGTGGGAAACTCTGATCAACATTATTTTTAGTAATGTTTACAGTTTTAGACATTTGCCTGCTGGTGTGGGACTGGATGAAAACAGCAGGACCAAAGTAGAGTAAATTATTACATTTTAAATAATATACAGTGATTTTTTGTTAAGTATACCTGTATAATTCAATGTAAATAAAGAGATGTTTTAAAGACATGTTTTTTCTGCCGCCCAAAAACTCAAACCATTGTTTATATAACAATACAATGCCTTCACATAACACAAAGATATATAGTTCTCAAAAGTAGCCGTGATGTTACATGCCTGTCAGAAACTGAGTATCATAAAACTGATGGATGGGGAACAAATGTGCTCAAAGACTGATTTAAAGGATATGTCGCAACCTACAGTACATGTCCAGCAAAAAAGGACGGATCTTATTTCTAGGTGCAACAACAGGTGCACTTTAAAGTTAAACTTTTTCTACTTCAGAACGAGACTGATGGATCAGTTACGCCGATATATCATGGCAGATTTGTCGCATCGTAAATAACAAATAAGTAACAATGGTGTCACCATGACATAGTACTTCCAGACTTCTCTTTTTTAAAGCACACCATTTATAGCTCTGATCTGAACACACTTACTAAGAACAGAATTACACTTAAATCAATTCAGAGTTAACATTAAAGACAGGAAATATACAATATTGTGTTGTTTTTGTTAAGCTTTATGCACTGAAATGCCAAATTGTTCGTCAGATACATTAAAGTGGACCTATCATGCTATATTTGAAAAATATATTGTAGGGCCATACCTATACAAAACATGTCTGTGAAGTTTTTTTTTCAAAATACCAAACAGATCGCCCATTGTAGCCATGCCTCATATTGCTCAAACCCCTCTTTTGCAGCCCTGTTAGAGAAACGCAGATTTTGGGTCCTTAGCTTGAAAAAAATGAAGAAGAGGAGGCAGAGCTAATGCCTGATCAGAATTCTACCAGAGATAAAGTTAAATTCGGTTGTGATAAAACGCCATCCTGTTTAAACCACGTCAAGGATTATTTCTGAAACAGTATGGAGCTCAAATGCTTTTTCTCTTGCAGGTTTATCACAAGGTGAGTTCCTTTTTTTATTTCCTGCTTTTTAAAAACACATGTGCTCTCCAGTACAGGTTAGCTCTGAGTGTTAGCGAGGCTTGCTAATGTAAACAAAGACGTCCAAAACACGTCAGGCATTGTTTCTGATAGCAACTTTCTGTGGGTCCGCCGACGTCACCACTGATGGACACGTCAGTTCGGATGGAAATCTGTATCCACTCGTTTTAAAAAGATTTGGATACGGAGGAAAAGAGAGGGTTTTATTTTCTGACGCTGCGTGAGTTCCGGAGACACATATTTATGTATAAAAGACATCACAAAGTGCATTTTGCATGATAGGTCCCCTTTAAGTCGCCACCTAACTTTTCTAAATCGATTTTCTACATTTTTGTATACTTAACAGCATTATCATATCACATTACATTTCATTTAGCTCACGCTTTTAACCGTGCAACTTATAGAGGAATCAACTATGAATAACTTAAAACAGCAATAATCTTGCAATAAGACAAACCATTTTAAGTGCTAGAGCATTAGCTTCAAATAAGCAACACCAAGTGCTGGATACGGAAATTCAATTTTTTGTTTTTCACAGTGCAGTGCTTAGCCTACCTGTCTTTCTCTTACACAAACACCTTTATGTGCACAGGGGCGACCTGCTGTGGTTCAGGGGTCATGGGTTGCTAACAGAGCTGCTCCAATGTGAGACTTTCACTGCTGCCTGAGCAGGCCTTCACACTGAGCTGCAACCGTCTGCTGCCTGGATCTCTCACGCACAGCCTCACTCTATATAAACACACACATACACAGAGAAAGGCTCCCCTATTCTTGTCACAGCCAAAGAGCATAGCTGTAATTAAGATGTCAAAAACACACAGCATACAGCTTATTTTGAGGATCATGGTCTCATCATGAGTCTTTCTCTGCTTGCCTTTCAGAAGCAACAGTCCACAACCGGCCGATCACACAGGCCTTAAATAGCTGCTGAAGGCACGCAGGCTCCTGATGAGAAGACAAACTAGGCAAAGGGACCTATCCCCCGCTTTATATAAGTGTATACACACACTGAACATGTCTAAGCCACAGCTGGGAAACATTAACTGGATCAGGATAGTCAGGCAGGCAGTTAACACAGGGAACAGCATGTGTAGACTCACAAAAAACATACAGACCTGCACACGGGCGCTCATTCCCTCACTTTCATATCATGCATGTTTCCCTTGTCCCTTTGAAAATACACACTCAGCATGTATAAAACATAAAACATTCTGAAGCGTATGTTGTTGTCCTTTTACCTCCCCCTTTATTTAGATATGACAACATGCAAGGTTTTCACTGGCTTTTGGTCAGTGTGGTTATATGTTTTGCACAGACTGGCATTCTTAAAAGGGAAACAAAACTAATGCTACTCTCAGTCTCAACTTAGGCAAAATAACTGTTCATAAAAACTACATTTAGTACCAACAAGACAAGAAACTAGTCACTTCTGCAGAACCGATTTATATTTTTTTTAATGAATACCTTATAAAAGAAAGCGATGCTTCTCATTACTCATGTATCCTATATTTATCTACTTTGGATTGGATATTATATATAGTAATAAAACCATCAGTCGATCAACAGAATTTCAATTATTTGATAGTTAATTTATGATAAAAAAATGATGATTGTTCCAGGTTTGAATTGTGAGGATTAGCCAGTTTCCTTTTGATATAATAGTAACCTGAATATGTTTGTGTTTTGCCAGCTTGTCTCAAAAAGCAAACATTTTGAAGATGACACAGACTTTGTTATTAATTATTACATCCCCATTACTGATGGTATGTATCCAAAATTCCAATGTGTAAATAGTTTGTAAAAGCACCAATAGCAAACCCCACAATATGCTTTTTGATGTCAAACATTGTGATATGGGACTTCACTATATTCCCCTGCCTTCATGTATGTATGTAAAATGTTTGTGTGTGCACATGATGCTTACCCATGAATGAGCCTGTGCTGCAGATCAGGCTGAAGAAGCAGCTCTCCGGGGGAAGAGTCCCACATTTACTGCAAGAACACAGTAGTACACAGAAATAAATCACAGGACTACTGTCAACAACCTACGCACAGTCCACAGCAACAGAACCACTAATTAATCTCCTGTGTTGTGCAATGTTGTCAGATATGTAGTTCTGCCCATGCAACAAAGGAAAAAGGGGGGGTGGTGTGGGGATGGGGGGCACACTTCCTCATATACCACCATTAAGGCTTTGACTTTTCACCTACTGAATACTCCACTCTAGGAATGGTAAATGTTTGTAGGAGGGGAAAGCAGAAGACAGTAAACACAGGCCGTCTGTGCCCGAGCTCCTGCCTCATGCAAAGCCTCCTCAGCTGACTGCGGTCACACACACACACACAAATTCAGTAAGCTTATTCTCACACCCATGCCTTTGAAACAATTCTGAGATGCATTTAGGATTTTGATTGAGGATTGTGTATATTTTGTCGATTTGATTTGACATAGTTCGATTTCCGTCAATTACTGACCTACTCAAACAGCATATGATGTAGCTGAATATATAGTTATAAAACTGGAACATTTTAATCTCTTTCACCTTCCAACTAAATTGCAAATTACAGATCAACAGCAGCACTGCATTGGTGAGGATGGTTAGCAACATCTCTGATGTTACGTATAGGTACATAAATAGTTTGAGGCCTACTTAATATTTCCGTTGACATAATCTTGCGCATTGTGTCAAGATGGTGATTTTTTTTGATGGCCTTCTCTAACTATTTGCTCCAGATTTGATAAACCAAAGTATTCAGATTATACAATTGGCCTTTGATGATGAAAGCCCAGTTTGAATAAAAGCTGCACAAAAGAGCGGGAGTGTCTAGATTTCCGCCCAAATGTAAGCCGACGCCTGTGTGTGTGTTTATTTGGTAAAGTGCAGACCAATGCTTCGCCTCTGAACTGCCACGGTGGCAGGCAGGATACTCAGCCCTGAGTTATTTTCAGAATGCACACATAGACACACAGACACACACTCAGGAGAACCATCTCCTTCGAGCTCACTCGTCTTTTTATCAACAATGTGCCGACAAGGGTGAGGTTAAACAATGGGACAGTGTTCCTGTTTTTTAACTACCAGACAGAAATGAGAAAAAGGAGACAGAAAAGAGACAGATAGAGGTGGGGGGGGGGGTGTGAGTGGGAGTCTCACTGACCTTATGAGAGGTACATTGTCTAGCGTGCAGCACAAGGTTGGCCCGCTCTGCAAATACAGATCCTCTTCACATGATTGGTTGTACAACCTGGAACATCAAACATACATGCTCATTTGTGCACACAATAAAAAGGTAATATTTATAAGCAAACAGTTGTTGAACAATCACATTTATTCAAGCTTTAGAAATATTAGTACAACTTTATTCCTGCTGTTAAATCACCAATTGCAGACGCATTTCGAATAATTACTATCACATTTGTTCTTAGTAAGTTTGGAATAAATAGTTAATTTGTAAAATAATGAAAATGACGAAGAAAAACAGGGACCACAACATATCACCAGATGGCAAGGATTGAGTTTGTGGGATCATCAGAGGTCAAATAAAGCAGCATGCAGTATAATTGATCAACATACCAGTTATCCACAGGGCAGACATGTTGATTGTACAGGGCCATGGCGTACCTGAAATATAAATAGTATGATTAGCCGGGAAAAAATAAACAATGTTGGTATATTGTAAATCGTCTCAAGTGAGTCAAAGAGTAAAACATTTAGAATAAGGTTCTAATAATACGCAAATAACAGTGGAATCTACACTGTTGGCTTAGTAACATAGCCCATGACTACACTTTTACTACCAAAATGTCATTTGATCATATCCTGCCAGTCTGACCTTCCACTGATTTTGTTAAACCTGTAGGGTCAGACGACCTGACATTCGATTGTTCTTATCTCTCTATCGAGGACTCGGAGGTCAAAAAACTGGTTTGTTTTTCACAACTGGTTTAATAACTGCTGATACCCAACAGTGATGTTTAGTCAGGTCACTGACCACCGACATCCACTGAGGTCAATGGCCAGAAGATCAAAAGATAGAAACACATATTATTGAAGATATATTGGTATAAGTGTACTTTTGGATCAACGTCATCCTCCATGTTGTGTTTCAAGATGGACATGTCAGCACTGGAGGGACGAAAAGGGAAACTCTGGAAGGAAAAGCAATTGTCACCTTATCCCCTCGCTATTGCTACACATGCTGTCAACACTGATAAAAAATAATATTTTTAACTGCTAGAAGAAAGATGGGAAGACAGACGGTCAGAGACAGACACAGAGACTATCTATCCAGATTTATGAAAGCAGTCCTGGTTCAGTAGGAGGTTAAATACCAGTTACAAATGTTTCCAGGGTCGATAGTATCCAAATCACTCTTTGAACGACGGAGTGATATCATAAACGCGCACACACCTGCTCCCCAAAAGACACTAACAAGCACAGGCCCTCGTGTCAACACACATAAAGACAAGTAAGACTATATTTATTGGAAGCAAGACCTATTATATGAGTTACAAATGGTGGTGTTTATAATATGCAAATTGATGAGTGAAATTTGAGTGTCAAACTTTAGAGTGCAAGGTCTGACGCTTTAGTACCACACAGATATATAGTTACAATTATATTATAGTTGTGGGTACATAACTAGAAATATCAGGTAAATAAGTCCCCCCCCCCAATCCACTACAGCATATGGTTATAATCAGGGCTGCACATAACTGGTGCGCACCTCCGCCAAAAAAAGAGCACCGGGTCATTTGAAACAAAGCGCATTTGCGTACCAACATTGAGAAGGAGAGAGAGAAGAGAAAAGAGAAAAGAGAGGAGAGAGGAGAGATGAGAGAGAGAGAAAGATATTTGCGAGTTGCATATGAACCATGATATGAACTCAGGGCCGGCCCGTAGCACTGGCTAGATGTTCGCCTAGGGCGCCAGATCTGGGGAGGTGCTGCTCTGGCAGTTCTGGGAGGGAAAAAACCATTTTGACCATTGGGGCTCATCCTAATTTTCGGCCTTGATGTAACAATATTCACAATTAAGTAAATGTAGCACCCTTTTCACCCCGGTTACACGTTTCATTTGCCCTGTACGATGGGCGCTGTAAGTGATGAAAATGGGGGATGTTGGCTTATCTGGCGCCCGCAGCTCACAGACAAAATGCGAGTGAGCGAGGGGAGAGAGGGAGGGTGGTACCAGCGCTGTTGTTATTATAATCTGGTGCTGTGCTAGCTGCTCTAACGGAGATAAGAAGAAGATGTTTCTACAATAATGTGGAGGGAGAGTCCTCTCCAGTCAGACTGAGAGGCTGATAAGTTAACTACAGCTCAGTGAGGTAAAGGACTCTTAGTCTAAGTTCAAACGGTTTGGTCACAATTTATGTAAACACATATTTCCAAGGCACTCCTTTGTAATTATTGGGATAAACAGGTTTTAAATCATTCCAATGTATACTATAGGACAGTAACCAAAAATATCCTTTAAAACTGGAGATAAAAAAAAAATGCATAAATAAATAAATGTTAAGGTAAAATAAGATATGAATGAACAACACAAATAAAATAAGTTACATTCATTTGTTATTGGCTATGGTAGGCTATTGGTTATGTTCACATACTTATTTGATTACATCCACTTTTCTAAGAAGACAACAGAGACTTTCGACCCAAAACCAGCTGTTGACTTTTGGATGCAAGCAGCTAATCGCAGACTCAACCAGAGAGAAAGTAGTAGGCCTACATCATCAGCTACCATGTCTGACAGAGAGGAAGACAGAGAGGAGAACAGTCAGGAGGGTAGTGATGACAGCTTGTAGGATTACTGGTCGTGCTAATGTTGTCTTGTGTTCACCTCTGCATGTGTGTTCTGTGTTCACCTCTGCATGTGTGTTCAGTGCCGTGTGTCTGGCAAATAAAGTCAAGACCCCCTCAAAAGTTACGGTTTATTTCATTTTAAGGATGAGCGCCAAGCAACATCTCCAGGTGCTCCTTTGAGAACCAGGGCAAAAAAGTTATGTGCACCCCTGGTTATAATAGATCTGTTATTTTGGTACTTTATAAATTAATGCATTTTCTTTTACACGTGAAAGCTTGTGTTAAGTATTCAATTTGGCATTATTTCACAGTCATCCGCTCTGCACTGTATTACACTACACTATATATATATATATCATAATATCCTACACGTCAAGTTAAACTACAATTATTACTAAAAAAGCCATTAATGGGACTTAACACCAATAGATATCAAGTCCAACCTAAGATAAATAATTACTGGGAGAAAATCAACATGTTGGAGTGTCTATTTGTGGCTTCCTAATCTTCACTGTTTCAGACTCAAGTGTGAGCAAGTGAAAGGCATAATTGAATGAAGATGACATTATTTGTTTGGGTATTGACTAAGGGAAGAGGGAGGCACGAGTGGCATGTGAAAGGTATGCTACTCTTGCATAATGCAGCGAGGAAGCCCACCGCCATCAGGTAGAAGGTTCCAGTGCTCCAATACAATGATACTAACTTACCAAGGGGGAAAGATATAGGAAAAGTAACTGCAGCCTGCTGAAGTGATCACATTTTCCACAACTTCCAAGGAAACTTTTTTTGTTTGGTCAGCTTCCAAATATAAAAACAGCAGCAGGGCCTTTCTGGGACATTTCTAAATAGAGCGGTCTTTTTTAGCACTATGTGAAACTGAACTGGTGCCTTCTGCGCTCGGGGGAGTCTAAGTAATAATAGGTTTGTTTACATAATTAGACCTCTATCGAAGCTCAGCAGTGGTAGTAAACTCTAATTGCATGCCTCTGAGCAAAATATAGGTGGAAAAAGCCATGTTGTTTTATTTAGGATAAGGACTTTTATTGACAGTTAGAATTCCCATAACACTGTGCAAAAAAACAACATATCAGAAACCACAGGAAAGGGTGTGATGCACAAACTGTGAATTCATTTTAGTAGTAAGCTCCAATCGCTTCTCTGGCTGTTTGCTGTAGCGCCTAAAATGTACAGTACTATTAAAACTAAAGCAAAACTGCTTAACTCCTAACTCAGGAGAAGAATCAAAGATCCTGGGTGGGCAGAAATCTTCTTCTGCCTGCATGGCCTCCAGATGCCGAGTGAAAGTTCTGCTTACGCTCTCTATGACCGCCCTCCAATATTTACCTTACTCCCACCCATTCGCCCACAGTGAAAGAGGGAGTTCAAGTTTTATTTATATAGCACATTTATAAACGATTTTTGGTCGAGACAAAGTGCTGTACATATAATAAAAAATAGCCTACAGTAGAGACACTTTACAGCAAATACAACAGCACAGATTGTTCAGAATATCAGTATGAGAAAAACGACACCCTCTATCCTTAGACCCTCACATCGTAGTCACATCCTTTGACATTCCTCCGGTCTTGAAAAGGACCCTTGACTGCTCTTAGAAACAAGGCACCATTGTCGAGGTAACGGGAAGGAAACGGGTTTAAAAAGGGACTGACACTAGGCAGCATTTGGCATCTTAGCTCAGATATCTTACTACCTCAGAAACAATTGTCAAAACAAGAACAAAATGGGCACAGCTAGCACTGATTTTCACCTGCATGTACTCTAACTTTGTATTTGTCTGACTGTGAAGCAAACAGTCTACAGTCTAAAGCAACATCAGCAGCTCAACCATGTCTTATCTGCAAAGCCCTGCACACCTGAACACACACCTGATTAGACTGTGAAGCAGCCATGTTCACAAACACTAGTAATTGGTCTCAGCTTTGGCATCTGATTAGACTGAAAACTCCCCAAGCAACTCAACATAGACCGCTACAATCTGGAATTAGGCCATCTGTCCCTCTCCCCTTTGGGGTGAGCATTCCTTCTCCCATAGAAACAGAGCAGAGAGGAGAGAGCTGTCAGCCCAAAACATAGCAAGAAGGTAATCACTCCTTCCTCTCTACTACATACGCTCAGATACCATACTGCAGACAGATATACTGCAAACCTGCAAGTCTCTCTTTAAAAGAGCGGTGATAATCTCAGATCCTTCCTGGAGAGCGTTAAACATGCAATCGCCATGACTCCCAGGAATTCAGCGTAAATATGCAGTGTTGCTCTCAGAGGCTGAGGTATCAAAAGGTTTTAGACTCAACATAAACAAGATTTATAATTTGTTCTATTAAGGCCTGGGTATCACTGCATGTAGTCTATGTCAAAGATAATTTGTTCAAATATCATTTTAATTGTGATGATATTCTGTTATTTGTTATGTACACTGATATATTTATTAAGAAAGATATATGCAGAAGTCCTATATTTGTATAAAACTAAATTGGCCAATGTGTATGCGGGCAGAACAAGTGTGTGTTAAATCAGGTTTATGGCTCTATTAAGCTATTAAAAGAGTGCGATAGCGGGCCAAATGTGCTTTATTACACCATTGCACATGAATACATTGTGTATTGTTCCTCCCTGCAAAAGTGTTATAAATCTGTCAGGGATAAGGTGTTATCTTTGTGCCTGGTTGAATTTAATAAAACCGTGCTACTGGCCAAATGTGTCTCTTTCAAAATCTTGTGGGTTACAATGCAGAATTGAAACTAGTGTTTCTTTTACTTTTGGTAAAACAGTTACTGTATTGGTTTGGCAGAAACGATTACAAAGCTGTTATATAAGTAAGCGATATATCATACTTGACGTAAAATAAACTTGCACTGAGCATCACTCTCTACCAAGGCAGCACAGCATTGAACACACTTTTTCAGTTGCAGCCGACTTGAAAAGATACTTGGTTGTGTTTGATTTGAGTTTTAGAAAACAGATTTTAAGGAAATGTCCTACTTACACTACCCATATCCCAGTGATGGTCAAAACTGGGAGGCTAACGGGCAGTATCATCCAGAGAGACATCTTCCAGCACCTTGAGCAGCCACTTTCTTCTTTTTCCTCTTCGGCCAGCCGTGCAATATCTGCTCAAGTAGTACTAACATTTAACTGAGTGTGGCTGACATCTGCATTGCCACCGACATTTTCTTAAAGATAGAGGATAGTAGATGGACAGGTGTGTCCTTTATGCTGGGGAACGAGAAGAGGGGGAGAAATGAGTAAGGTCAGTACCTTCACCTAATGATTAGAAAGCAATCTTCATCAAGCTCTGCCAGTTAGAGAAATCAGAGCAAGTCTCCCTAGCATGTGTATGTAAAGCATACAGCAATTTAATATATAAAGACAAAAAAGTAGGGCTTTACATCTGTTAACCTGTTTCTGGAGATGTCTTCTAATTGGTGGAGCTGTACAATGTTGTTGTGGACTAAACCTATCAAGGTAGGTTATCCTATTCAAGATTTTAAAAAAGTTGTTTTTCGGAAGTTTAACTGTATTTGACTGTCTGATTTAATAACGATGATGGCTTGTCATTCTAATACATCGTTGGTGATGTGTAACATTGACTCAATTAGTACACTTTTCCAGGTACATGTGCCTTATTTGAATACCAACATGTATGTTATTTTAATTCTACTTCCCTACAACTAAGAGGAACATATTGTACTAATACAAAATATTTTCAATAAATGATGATATCCTATAGTTGATTAGGCTGCCCAGTATATATACTACAAAAAAAGTATGCATTACAAATATAGGATTCTGAGATTAGTCATTATGTGTGTATTTTGTACTTTTGCTATTCTAAGTCAATTTAGTTGTACTTTTACTTGGAAGAAAATCTGTAAATGCAGGACTTTTACCTGCCATTTACCTAAAATGTGGTTTTACTATATTAAACTAATATGTGTAATTAAATGTAATGTTTGGTAAACTGCATCCCTTCTCATGACACATGCTAAAAGCTGCTCACCTTCAAGGGTCTAGCTAGCAACAACGACGAACATCAAAAGAAAACCAGTGACTACTCACCTTCTGTCTCAGTGTTCACTAGTACGTTTTTTGCAGCTTTTTGGTAACTTTGAGTACGCCGAACACACCTCTGGAAGCCGAAAAATATTCCACACAGACGGGACGCAATTAAACTTGTTTTATATATTAATCCTGCATTTTCTTTCCCGAACAACTGAATCCCGTTTTCCGTGTTTCGCTTTGAATCGAAGGGGGAGGCTCGCTCTCAGTCGGTTTCGTTGCATCGCCGCCACGAGACACTCCACAGTATCCAGCTGTTAGGCTCCGCCCCCTCAGACCTGCAGTGTGCGCTGCATTTAAATTTGGTGGAGCACCAGGTGGGCGGGTCGAGGGCAAAATAACCAGTTTCAATAAATAGTTTGTCCTATTTTCAGTGATGGAAGAAGTGCTCAGATGTTCTACTTAATAAAAGCAGCAATACTTAAATGGAAATGCTCAGGTAAAGTACAAGTACCTACAAATTGTACTTACGGACAGTAGGCTACTGCAGTAAATCAATGTACATATGACCACTGCATATTTTACAGTATGATTATGCTTTTCAAGATAAACCTAATAACTGTGTTACCACCATTAGTGTTATACCCTGTGGAGGTCATCATGAGCACTTCTAATTATTGTAGGTACATATTTCTATTATGAGAAAACTACCACTGTATTGCATATCTAAAGTAGTCCTATATAAAAACAAGCAAAACACCTCATTATAACAGTCATTATGGAAAACGAATTCATTGTTGTTGTATCCTACATGTACTACTTCAATTAGTAGTTGATCGTATGGGTCGTTTTATTCTCTCACTGGACAGCCAAAAGACTAAAAGATGCAGGTCACACCTGTAGAGACGAAACGTGTTTCTGCTGCCCCCTGGAGCTTCAACCATGGTATGTATATGGTATATATATATTACTTGTTAATATGTGTAAGCACTAATGAGGACCAGCAGATGGTGGTGGAAGGCAATAATCTATTGAGTCTGGTGATTATTGATAACAAATACAATCACTTTTATTTGATTTCTGTTGATTATCAAATAGTTTTTACATTTGTCACATCATCACAAGTGGCATATGAAATATCTTGTTTCCAGATTTCCCCCAACATCTAAAGGACGTATTTTTGTATAATTAGAGCAAAGATGGTGTATAGACTGACATGTTGCATAACTATAATGCAGATACATTTAAAAAAACATGGTGGTTTTAGAAAGTTTTATTTAATTTTGTTTAAAACACAGTATACCATTAATATAAATATAAAACGTGTTATAACATAATTGAGAAAAATATGTGGAACACTGTGAAATAACATAGTCAATTAGTGCATATGTTTTATAATTAGATTGCCCCAAAACAACAGTGATCAAAATAAAATATACAGAGGGTAGGATTAATTTTAAATAAAAAATTAAAAAACAGAACACTTGAATCATTTAAACCACAGAAAAAAAACTTAAAGCAAAGGTAAAAATAGAATCAACATTTTTTTTTTTTTTAAGGATATATGGAATTTTGTGTACATTTGTCGCACATAACTAGCACTATGGCAACTCTCCTACACTCTGATACTACTACCGAAGCCCCACACACTGAATGCAGGGTAGAGGGGCTGAGTGAATATCGTCTGGATTCTGTGCAGAAGCTGCATGCCATCAGAAACACTGTAAAATGCGAGTGTTCCTGCAGAATAATCCAGGTAGATGCCGATTCGGGATGCAATAGGAGCTGCAAGATCTGTGCTCTTGTTGTTGTGCACAAAGGAGAATTTGGAGTCAGAGCAGTACAGACTCCAGGACTTGTCGTTCCAGCCCAGGCTGCACTCATTGCTGTTTCCTTTACGGCGGATTCCCCTGTAGCTAACAGCCATGTCCACCTCTGTCCCCCTCCAGTCCACCTCCCAGTAACAGCGACCATTCAGACTCTCCCTGCACAACACCTGCATGGACCAAATGAGAGGTTAAAAGACAACGTTTAAGCATTGTTAGCTTTTAATATGAGAGTTTACTTCACCTTTGCCCAGATATGTACTGCAACTACACAAATGAAATACTTTTATAATAAGAATAACTTCAAAGACTAATAGCCTGATATGGATGGAGATTTTCATTCAATACAAACAAAAGACATGTAAAAAGTTTCACAAAAAAGAGAAAGAAAACTAATTTAAAAAAAATTCGTGTTCTAAGTCTACTGAAATTTTTTGTTTAAATGTGTCAATAAGGCATTATCTATGTTAGCATTTAGTGAGTTTATAGGATAACTTTACAGATGCAGATTGACAAAGTACGTAGTAAAATAAACAACTGATGTGTGTTTAGGAGGTCTTCTGTTCAGTAGTCTAAAATATGACATGTTGTGGGAGAAAAATAGCCCAAACTCACAAATCAGACCTGTGCTTTTGTGTTTGACTTCTTGATATCGTGATCATCTTTGGCTCTTTAGAATTCACAACCCTCTTTTCAGGCACTAAATCACTTTTTGGCGTGCTGAATATATTCTCACCTGTTGCCATTGCTCGAATCGGTCTGGGTGGTCAGGGTAATTCTTGGGCTCACTCTTCATCGTTGCTGATCGGTTACCCTCGGAGAGATGAAGGTTGCGATGGACACTGTTGACCTCCAAACTCAGCTGGCAAGAGTCTAAACAAAGCAGGACAATTTCATAATTTATCATCTCTTTTTTGTTCATCACTATCTGTTTTCCTATGTAATGCTATACGTTTTGCTATTTGTCTCTTTTCAGATGAGCACATTTTCTTCCCTTTTCCTTCTTCTTTGGGTCGTACATAAATCACCCACATAAATGGTTAGGAACAAAGTTAGTCCACTTAATCCTTGGTGAATCATTTTTGAATGCATCAGTTTGTTAATATGCTTTACCAAGGTGGAGTTACAGTGGGAACACCTGTGTTTGTTTAAGTGATACTGAACTGTGAGTTTGCTGACTTACATTTCACCAAACCAGTTCTACAGGCCTTTTGTAACACTCCGAAAATGTGTTTCACCCGATGGTGTAGTCATACCTTTGTAAGGAAGATGTGCCTGCTATATGTCAACATGACTGTCCTGTTATGAACCTTAGTACAGAATACACTTCACTCGGTTGAATATGAGTGGGGTTTGATATGACTGCAAAGTAGCCTTGCCAAGTTGCTTTTGCTAAAGGTTTCATGAAAGGTTAAAGGCATCCTTCTCTGTAAAATAATTTTTTTAACTCACATTTCAGGAAATCTTCTCTTGTCCTGGGTCCTTCTCTTGTCCTGGGTTCATCTCTTGTCCTGGGTTCATCTCTTGACCTCGGTTCTTCTCTTGACGTTGATTCTTCTCTCGATATTGATTCACTCGTTGTCTTGTTTCAACCTCCTGCGTGATGTATACATCATTCACTATAAAGAGGCAGATAAAAAACACAGGGCAGCATAGGTTTTATGAGAGCAGAAGCAGACTGAAAAAACATTCCTTAAAGGAACTAGAGAGGGGCATCAATGCTATTTGAGATGAAAATCACACATTTGTGTACCTGCTCCTGAGATTTTTCTCATTTCAGTCTTGCTGACTTCTTCTACTTGTAATTTCAGTGCAGCGATGGCTCTCTTGGTGGCATCAAAGGAGTAATTGGGAGCGGCACAGATGTTGTTGAGGTCTTCATATCCGGAGGGGCCTGACAGAGACTGCCAGCTCTGGTAAAAGAGATGAAAGCTAGAAATGAGCATTAACAGCTTCTACATGTTTTCTACTCAGACTCCTGATGTTTGCACTATACAAGTTCCTCAGTTCATATAAACCTCACCTGCAGAAAGTGTATGTGATCATCGGTGTGTGAGAGCTTCTCCAGGTCAGTGTGTTTCTTCCTCAGGAGAGTGATCTCTTCGTCCAAGCGGTCCAGAAGTAACTCGGCCCGTGTCAAAGTTGTCTTTTCATGGGAACGGATCATCTCTTTGACTTCATTGTATTTCCTCTGGATGGAAAGCAGAAGCTCGCTGAAGATCCTCTCGTTCTCCTCCATGGCAGTTTGAGCTGAATGCTGAGGAGAAACATCACAAAGAGAGGAAGAGAGTTTGTTAAAATATGGATAAAAAAGCAGTTATTTTCCTTACAAAATACCCTAATGTTTGACCTATTATGTTTAAAGTAGATTTTACTTACTTTAACTGATTCAACAGCTTGACGGAGATCCTGCCACTTTTTAACTCTCTGGTCAATCCTAGTCTGAGATTTGTGCAGCGTGGTACCAAGTTGTTTCTATAGAGGGAATGACATTAAAGTGTTTTTGTCAGCCTTGAACAATAAATATGCCTTTAAAAAAACTCCTTGAGTAACTTAACCAAAAGTTTAGATGGACATGTCGTTTTCACCACTCACTTGTTTCTCAGTCCTTTCAGTTCCAGCCGGGACGATGTCGTGGTGTTTGTGTTCATCCATCATGCACAAAACACACACTGATGTCTCATCAGTGCGACAAAAAGCCTCCAGCAACTTGTCATGCTGCGCACAGATCTTCTCTCTCATCTGACCCGTAGCTTTGACCAGCTTGTGCTTCATCAGGGCAGGGTAGTCATAGTGAGTCTGGACATGGGTCTCGCAGTAAGACGCCAGGCACACCAGGCAGGACTTCTCAGCCTTCTGCTTCCTAGTTGTGCAGAAGTCACACACCACTTCCTCTGACTTGGCCAGGGTCCTCGACTGGTTACGACTGGTAGACCGACGAGATTTGTCCGAGCTATATCTGTCTAAATCTAGAGACATTTTTTAAATAGGATGTCTGGCAATTATGGGACCAAAATTGAAATCCACAGGTGCTTCAGCTCAGCAGCAATATGTTACCCAAATGTGTTGGATCCAATGCTGAAGAAAAGCTTTGATAAAAAGTAAGCAGGAGGAGGTAGCCTGAACAGCTTCAGTGAAAACTGTGAGACTGACGATGTGTGTGACAGAATGTTAACTATGTGGTCCACTCTCATTGTAAAACCAGTATACCTGGTTGGGCATTTATAGGCAATGGGTGTTACTACAAATAGGCTCAAACAAAGAAGAGGACAAGTTGAAACTACCTCAATAAAATAAAGTCTTACTTATTTATTACATGTAATACACATTTATGTTTGTATCTCTATTGATTATTTTAGGATAAGGATAGCATGAATAACACAATTTTAACATGGCATTCATTTATATTTAAAATTATATTAACTGCTGTTAAATGATTATCCTTTTTAATGTAACTACTGCACTGTTAAGTATTAACTTACCCT